CCTGCTGCATGCTTGGGCACCTCGATCAGCATCACTCGTTCCTATCGTAACCGAACACCGGAAACTCAAAACCCGCGTTTTCCGCGGAATCAATGTTCCTGGCGCGTCATGCTCCAATCGTTGAGACAAAACTTTCAGCTAACGCATCCTCCGTTGATCGTGTTGAGGTGGACAGAGATGTGGCGCCTGTACGATATTTGTCTCTTCCTACACAACCGCGCATACATTACAACCTCGTGGTGCGGACAGCAGCGTAACGCGGCTCGCTGTGAACCAATCTACGGACTGGACTTGCCGTTGACTGCGTCTTTCCATTGCCGGAGTATGACCCCCAGCACGACACTCCTATCCAGCGTCTTCCCGCACTCTCGCACCCGTACCTAGACCTCATTACACAGAAGATACGCTAGACTAGCTTGCTGCTCACATACCGATCAGCTTCGCAATATTCGTCCGTATCCAGTCGGCAATTTTGGTCGTGCGGTTTTCTTTTTCCCAGTAGCGAGCTATTCTGAGCAAATAGGCGGGACGCGCGACCGTTGCCCTGAGGTGTCCGTATCAACGTTATTGGCCAGTGATTACTGAATTAGATCCTTCAGGATTGACAAGGTGTAGCAGTGACATATTGTCTCTTGCAGTCTAGGCTGGGTGGACGGCACAATCACGAGAGTGAAGCCCGCTAAACCAACAGGTCCCTCTGGATCAGTGCCGGCCGACTTGAGAGACACTCTTGGAATGATAGACCGCACCACTGGAGTTCCGAACCATGTCCGAGAGCTTCTTTCAGAGAGCCGTTCGGGAGATGCTGTACTGGGTTTTCGCACCTAGCACATCGATTTGAGCTTGGGCAAGGCTCGTCTCCAATCACGATTACACGTTGAACCACGATAATGATGGCTCCTGGTTTCGCAAACATACCCTGCAATCCAAACATACTTTGCCACTGCGTGGCCAATAGCATGACGGTTTCCGCAGATTGCAGGTGGGATTTCCTGGCTGTTCTGCTCAGCACGCCATAGCGGGTTTGAACAAGGCTTTTCGTGAAATATCATCATACTTCGGCCGGTGGCCTTGGCTGGTTACACTGTTGCATATACCACGCAGTCGGGTTTTATCCTGATTCCGCGTTTACCGGCAGTGCTATGACAGAGCTTGGTCAACTCCTATCGTCAGTAACCATTGTATATGATCGGCGCTATGCCGTACGTACATGTATACACATACGCCCTGCAGTCCGAATGTACCTCGCGTCCGCGTTTGCCGACGAAGCTGGAACGGAGAAGACCGCGAAAAGCAACTTCTGCAGTCAGCTCTAGGCCTTCTACCCCAGGTCTATCTCCCTCCACGCGATCTTCCCGCACCGGTCAAATCCTGCGCGTCATGATGGCGGTTCGTAGCGACCCTTTCCAAGCCTTCTCATCGGTGAAGTCTGCAAGTGCCGACGCGCCTTGCTCTCGCATTCTCCCTTTCGGCTTCTAGTCTTGCAGGTCTATTCACAGGTAGCATCGCGGGCGCATCAAAGAAACTATATTGTTGTAAATGTGTTAATAGCGAGCTGGACGGATCGAAAAGATAGAGACAAGATGTGTATGACCATTGCAACGAATTCTAACGAAACTCATTGCAGTAGTTTCTACATACGGCCGCGAACTAGACCCTCAACGGCTCCTGGCGCTCGTCGGAAGACCATCGTTTCTGCGGAGATTCATGGATTTTCAATCTAGTGGTCGGAATATGCCAGGGTTTAGCTTGCTTTCCATTGCTGACATGCCGGATTTATCCCTGGTAACTCGGTTGTGGGAAACGTTTAGGCATAGCGACCCAAGCCAAGACAAAAGTATGCACGTCTCGGCGCTTCAATGTTGATTAAGGTCAGTTCTAGGTCATATGCATCCACTCCGTCTCCGATCAGGTTGGATACTTTGACCCCGACCACGTCCACGGCCTGACCTTTGGCCGGAGAGACGTTTCGAGACTCTGAGATCGTCCAGGTACTGGCGTCTTCCACGTCAACGGTGGAGACGTCAGTACGCTTCGAATCAGATGTCTCCGATCTCTCCCCTCAACCTCCGTTTGTGTATCACATCATCAGGGCGTTCCATGCATACAACCTTTGATAAAATGCCGCAGCCAGTCATGATCCAGTGATATACTGTCTCGGCGTCGGTCCGTTCGGACATCTTCGTATGCGACATCGGCATACCGAAAGTTGCCGGTTCTTGACTGCCATGCTCTGCGACCCTTCTCACCGTTCATGGCCTGGGTGCCGGACTCGTGGCTCGACGACATTGGCCTCGTTCTACCCAGAATGTCGACTGATTCTCCAATTCGTGTGGGTCCAGGAGCAGAGCCGAAGCGCAACTATCCGTCCATGTCTCCGTGCTGACCATCATGGACGGATAGGTATAGCGATGCGGATGTGGCTAACCGTTGCTGCAGCACGCCGGAGGTTACCCCGATGCGGAGTGTCTTTCGTTCGTTTTCGCAGAAGAGGGTTCGTTGAGACGTTATGAATGTGTGCAGATGCGTGAGACTCGCAGATGTCCTGGTCTATTATGCAGTGCCGTCCCGGCAACGAATCCTGCATATGCTCATGGTTCGACAAAACGCCACAACCAGATGGCGGCAACTGCGGCGGGGAACTTTGACGCGTACAACCACAACGTCGACCCATATGTTATCTCGTGTTCGCGGAATAGAGCGCAGAGAACGTGTTCTCGACCAGCGTACATAACCGACGTGTTTGTGTATGAAACGTATGAACCGAAGTTCGTCGATCTATAGAGCGTTTGGTTCTCTGGCTTGCGTGCATGGCGCACGCCCTAACCCCACCTTTTCCCAACGGTTCCACTTTATCGCCCTGATCCGGCTGGAGATGGACGGCCATTATCATCATAACCGCGCACTGCGCGGCTGTCGTTATTATGTTCGGAGCTGGCGACGCAATGACTCTAGGTATTCTTTGGGACCGAGGCGGCGATTTGCCGGTTCAGCTGGTCCCTAACGACCCACTGCCTATCAGGTGCCGCGAAAGCTTCGAACTCTATCGTGCCTCGAGGACTGGCCTTCCTGGCTGCGCGGCCTAGCATAACAACATGTGCACTCAATTTTATGCCGCATCTACAACACTTGCGGGCATGTAGTAGTTAGCTAGTCGCACTTGCAATCTCGGCCATCACTCCATCGTCAGCTACTGCAGACTGCTGCGAGCCGCCAGGAACCGAAGACTAGGCACACGCTCGGATGGGGAAAGCAGAGCCTCCTGCTAGCTGAATCTAGTTGCACTGTATACAGGATCGAATCACAAAACCGATTGACGCCATCTTATGCAGGCGGGGTCCCACCTGCGTGGTTCGGGAATGCCAGGTGATGCAGGTCTCAACACAGCCGCCAACCGCACGTCAGCAACCCACCTTCAGAGTTTTCAGGAACGTCCTGCGGTCTACTGGAGTGGCATGACATGCGCCCGCCATCCTCACCGGACGAGCCGAATCATCAAAACGAAAAATGACGAACTGTGCTCACGGCCACAAAGGGATGGTGTTCGCGTGAGCCGCCAGGAGCGCGACGGGAGCCTAAGCATCGACCACATCCGGAAATATCTCTACAAGGTTACTTATTGGATGCAGATTAACTTTACCCTCTTTGATATGCATTACTCCGTAGTATACAGACCCGTCCCGATTGTGAGCGATTGGGTTCACCAAGTTGCCACTCTATGTTCTTTCTTTGACGCTCGATGCAGGGACCCAGCTAACCTACCGAGCCCTACATGCAGCGACAACCAGGGGTTTCGTCACCCCCCCTCCAACGCGTCTGCATCGAGATGGAGTGGACCCATTTCCTGAAAGCGACGATAGATGCAGTCACATATAAGTCTAGACTCGCCAATCGGGTCGCAGATCGGCCTGGGGATGGATAAGTATCCCTGCCCACACTAACTCAGCCACTCTTCTTACCGAGTACTAACAAGCTTGTCGCTCCTCGCTCTTGAGCGGCGGAAGCAGGGGCATAAGTTCCCCGAAGAGCTGAAATCTCACTAGCTGCCTAGTCTAAATCGCTCTATCGAAGGACGATTGTGCACTGGTAATGACACCAGCCGACTATTCTTGCACGCGACTGTCGCGGTAGAGCTAGTAAAATGCAAGACCCTCTGACAGCTCCGTCATCACGCACAACATGTTGCCTGATGCTGGTGCTGGTGCAAATGCGGGTACCACTTTTTGCCTTCACCTGGGTGCTGGCGTAACCGGCTCGTCTATCATTAGTTGGAACTTTCTTTTGTACGTCCTGCTCGCTTCCTCACCTTACCATTGGTGACAACTGTATCGCTACTTCTTTCCACCTTTACTTGCTGCACGTCAAACCAGGTACTGGAGCGACTGTACGTTTGCTGCAACGTGAAACGCCACCGGATCACGTAACTCCTAAAGTTCTACACTTCTTTTTAGGCTGGCATAGTTGGACGATCCTACATCTTGTCTTACTTGAGCCCTTCTCCTTCCTCTGCGTTCAGTCTTCAAAGAAGCTCCATACCCTTCTACACACACACACCTATTACCGTTATCCGACACATAGTAATAGCCACTCCTCCAAAGCTATGGACAGACCACAAGTCTCAATACCACCTGTGAGTAATTCCTACCATATCGCATTACAGCCTCACATATACTGACCCGCAAACGCTAGGCTGCGAATATCCTTGGTGTACGTTTCTCCACTTCACCCACGTTCCCCGACTTGCTTGCTTGAGTCATGATACTGACATACGATCTTCTCGTTCTGTAGACCCTCGGCACTGGTAAGTAACCCCGAGAACTTTTTGTGGCTAAAAAGAACCTATGCTAACTTGAGTAAAGTGTATGTAAACCCCCCACGTCAAGCCCTTGCTTAAAACAAGGTGGTTGCTAACTGTCGATTGCAGTTGTTGGTGTATACAAATCATCCCACAGATATGGACAAACTGGCGGCGGAAGAGCACAGAAGGCCTTCCTGGCACCATGCTCATTCTCTGGTCGATATGTGAGACTCCTCCGCCCCCCTCCCACCTCCTGCTCATCCTCGTCCGAGGTAGGAAGAACTAAGCTGACCTAAAAAAACTACACAGGCGGCGTGCCATTTGGTGTCTACGCAATTGTCCAGAACTTCAACTTTGCTCTCAAATTCCAACCTCAAGCCTTCGCCTCCCTCACCTTGATCGCATGGGGTCAAACGCTCTACTACCACAACAAATGGCGTGTCTGGACCGCTACTCTCGCGACCATTGCTCTGGCTGCTAGCTTCGGTATCATGGAGCTCATTCTCATTCTCACCCTGCGTGGGCCATATTCCCGAGGCGTCGAATGGCCTATGATGTTGATGGCTATTTCCGCATCCGTCATCCAAGTCATCGGTCTCATTCCTCCGTACTTTGAACTCGCGAAGAGGAACGGTCGCGTTATCGGCATCGGTAAGTAACTTGCGCGCCTTTTTGCTTTGTCATCCTCGTTCCCTCGGTACGTTGAAGCGCTTGTACTAATGCTCTTCTTCTGCGAAACAGACTTTTGGTTTCTAACCATCGATTACCTCGGCGCCTTCTTCTCCCTCATGGCTGTTGTCGCACAACAGTGGTTCGATGCCCTCGGCGCCAGTCTCTACATTGCGTGCATGGCCCTCGAAACCGGTATCTTCGTTTCCCAGGCTATCTGGCTGTGGCGCGTACGCCATGTCCGCAAGGAGGCGAAGAAGGCGGGTAAGACGTACGATGAGTATGTCAAGGAGAACCAGGGAAAGAAGTTGCCGAGGTGTGGAAGTGAGGAGACATTCGTTGATGTCGAAGCGGGTGCCGGAGGCGGAGGATGTGAGAAAAAGACAACGACGATTGGAGGTGGGGAGTATGATGCGGGCAATGAAAAAGCCGACGTGAAAGCTTCCACGACACGAGAGGAAGGTCGCGATGCGACGATGGCGGATGCGACACCTACAGCGACATCGCCATCGACGCCGACTCCGATATTTGCATCGATGACGAGCGCGACATCGTCCGAAACACTCCAGACACCACCGGCTGCTGTCTTGAAGTCCAGCACATCTGGCTGATCGTTGTCGTTCCACTTGTTTTCTCTTTTTTTTTTTCCTGATTGTCTTGGCTGCTTTGCGAAGAGCGGCAGGTTCCTCTCTCTGTTACTTCATGTCCCCTGTACGATACCTCATGATGCGACTACGGTGCATAATATCCCCCTTTTATTTCTTTTCCTCTTCGTCTTCGACGAGTAAAAGCTCTGCCTTCTCCTCTGGCAGGAGATCAAAAAAGCTGTTTTCGGTTTGTCCTCTTCTTATAAAGGTCGTCGTTGATTGGGCGGACATCTTTCATTGGCTTTCTGGTGGGAGGGCTAGGGAAAAGCGGGGTGCGGGATGGTATGGCACGTCACGGCTTGTACGAGTAGGAGTGCATGACTAATAACACGGTTACTCTGACATTGCGCGACGGTTATGCAAGCTAGTGAAGTCTCCTTTCCTAGTATGACAACGCAATAGTTTACTCATGTCGCGACTCTGCCATGTAGGTTCCTCACATCAAGCTGACACAGTAGTAAGTGACCAGAACCGATGATTGAAAGTAGTATTCAAGGACCATCTACACTACTCCTTCTCCATTTGAGCCTTGCCTCGCTGCTCCTTGTTCTCAGGACCAGGACGGTTAGTAGACACGGTACCCTTGAGTTTGGCAGTTTCAGCAACACCTTCACCCTTCTTGCTCATCTCTGGCTGCTTGGAGATTTGAGAGCTATGGTGAGTGTTGCCGTTGGAAAGACCCTCCTGCTTTCCAGACATGTAGTTGAAGCTCCTGGGCTTTCCACGAGGATCGGACTATCGGTAATTAGCATTGGTAACAAAAGAGGGGGAGAATATGTTCTTCGAACGAACCGGATCAGCCACGTCTGGGGATATCGCGCCTGGGTTCATGGCTTTTGACGAGTCTTTTGATGAATGGCCTCTTAGACCTATATCTTGATCGGGCCTGCCGGCACCTGGTGCACTGGGGTCGTCCCCCTTCGTGATCCTGTGGCTGCGCATGTTTTCGTCATTCTCGCCTACCAACTTGCCAGGCTGTGTCGGATGCGCCTGGAGATTTGCTTCATGGTCGCGATGCGACAAGGGACGTAGGTCGTTGCTGAGAGCGAGATAGATACCGCCGACAGCCAGACCAAGACCTGCCATCCTAAAAATATACGTTATTTGAAGCTCAATTACCATTGCAGCAATCGGTTCATGCGAACTGTTACAACGAGTTAAACGTACACCGTCACATCACTGGTCTTTGCTTCAGGGTTACTGCCCATGCTGCCTATTGTCCTACGTTGAGCACCATTTTGCGATGGATGGAATCGGAAGCTACGAGGGCATTTCGTGGCCTGTTTGGTGTTTGCAGCGGAGGCCGCACGCAGCTTTGCAAAGCGAAGTGGTTGCATTGTGAATTAGAGGTAGGTGTTGATTGAACTGAGCATGGCGGAATGATTGGTAGTTATCTTGGTGACATTTTGAAACTTGGTACTAGCTACATCAAGTTATCGTCAGAGCGCGACAGATCATGCGTCATCGATTCCCCGGAGTTATCGCCGTCAACTTGGTAAATTAACAACGCAGCACGGGCGTCACTGAGCACCAGAAAACGTGACTGTTTAGGATTAGATGGTCAATTGAGGCTTTTGGGTGCATGCAGACGTATGTCTGTTGAGGGGGTTGGAAACTGAAGTGCAGGTTAGGGTAGTGGTTACGTCACATGTCGTTCACAGTGAGCCAGCAACGACCAGCTGCCGACTCACCACATCTAAAACTTATACAGAATCCATGCACAGAAATACTTCTGAAGATGGAATATTGCAGACCAAGAAACAGATGTCGACTGGTGGTAATGTGTCCAACAAGCCACCTCGGGAGCGAATCACAGAAGCGAGCTAACCAGCCATCACACGCGACGCGTGAACACACGCTTGAAAAGCAACAACAAACTTCCTATCCATCCAAACAATCTCATGCTCAAGAAATTTCCTTTTCGGTGGTCGATTTGGCATTGATGCAGGCTAACATGACATTGTCTGAGCAGTATTCCCCTCGTACAACGCTCCATACACTACCTTACGCCGACGACGCGGCGACTTTCCTTCCACAGCGCCATACTCCTCCAACAGATGCGAAACTCTAGCAACTGAAGAGAAGAAGTTGCGTCTTCCGATCGTAGGTAGAGCGTCCGTGTCTTTTATACGACTCCTTTTCGCTTCGGTTGTGACTGGAAGAGCTTCTCCTGGGAAACCTTTTGGTGTATTACAAGACGAGCCGCATTATATAGTCAACGATGCGTTTTCCGTGACATTGCGCATCTCTCTCAACGAACAGATATGCACCACCCCTGCACTGGCTTCGCATCGTGGACAGAATTAGCCAGGTGTGTGTAAATCAGCGTACACTCGCCCCGTATTGATCCTTCACACATACTTGGCACAACTTGGCGAACTCAGCGAGGCGCAGGCACGTCTGCGGTCAATCAGGACTAAGCCTGATGCTGATTGGGCGGTGTCATCCTTTTTGGCTCTACCACGCCCTATTGTTCGCTTCCTGCTAAGCGAGAAGGTATGTCTAAGCAGAAACGAAATGTCGTGCTTTGTAAGTGTTTTCAGGTAGCCCGTATTTAGCTATTATAATATGAAGACTCTACGTCTCGTCATTGATCCATAGTCACGACTATCGATTTCTGTACTCCCAATCAACGATATCCTAGTCTGAGCATCCATCCATCACCATGACCTTACACGAAGTTCGATTGTTTCACTCCCCAGGGTCCTGCAGTACAGCTGCCCATATTCTGTTGAAAGAGTCCGGACTTCCTTTCTCGACTGAGGTTATCAATGTCATGCAAGGCTTCCCCGCTGAGTTTCTCCACCTCAATCCAAAAGGCCGAATACCTTTCCTGCATATGGATGGCGAAACAATCACCGAGATGCCAGCCATCATGACCGCCATCGCGCAACTGGTTCCCGACAAGAAGTTCCTTGGAAGCACGAATCTTGATATCGTGCGCTCTTACGAATGGTTCAACTTTCTTGCCGGAGATTTGCATGCGCAGGGCTACTTCACCTTCTTCCGTCCTCACTATTTCATTGACGACGAGACTGCATACGGCGAGATACGTAAGAAGGGCCGAGGAAAGATTGAGAGGTGTTATACCATCATCGAGGAAAAGCTCAAGGGCGTGCATGCAGTGGGAAATGCGTTTTCGGCTGTGGATGCATATCTTCTGCCATTCTATCGCTGGGGTAGTGCGAATGGGTTTGCGATGAAGGAGAAGTACACGAAGTACACGGCGCTGGTGGAGAACCTCGCTGCCATGGAAAGTGTGAAGGCGGTTTGCAAAGCTGAAGGTATCGATCCGATGCTTGGGGAACGACACTAGTTGTAACTTGGCAGAGTCGCTATGTGTGCTGAGAATTAGCCGAAGACGAGAGGGTTGTTGAACAACGAAGCGATAAATTGTAAACATAGTTCTTGAGTTGATAGTGGGAAACCTATAGCTGTGAAATACATACTAGCGAGTATTTGGCATTAGAGCTGCGAATGTACTGGGTTCTGATAAATGCTAGTAAGTTCTAGACAGGGTCACTGCCTGATAGCTTTGCGATATCAATAGCATTGGCCATCCTCTCGTACCCATTATTGTTAGGGTGAATCCCATCTCCACTGTCATATGCAGGGTCTAGCTTGGCTTCATCTGTCTGGGCGGGTAAAGTGGATGCCATGTCGAAGGTAGCATCAAACAACTGGTTTCCCTCTCCAGAAACCCAGTCGTTGACGATCTTCCGTTGCTCATTCTGTTCTTTTGTGTAACCGCCTGGTAGGATTGTAGTTCCAAAAACCTTTCGGTAATGCATTCTTGCGTTCTGGATGATCTGCTTCAATCCGTCGATAATGGATGCAGCATTGACACCCGCTCGCAAATCGTTTGAGCCAATGTGTAAGATGAGATCCGTTGCTCCGGATTGTGAGGCCAAATCCCATTCATAGCGTACAAGTCCGGCTTCACCAAGCATGAATTCAGGAATACGTACCCCGCCAAGTTGGCTAAAGTTTTGGTTGTCAGAGCTCGTGAGTTGATTTCCAGAGAGCCCTGCGTTGATGACTGCCATATACTGTGATCCACCTGCTTCTTTCAGACGGCGTGCGAGATAGTCGGGCCAGCGTCCATTCGTGTTTGGAGTCGATCCAGCTCCATCTGTAGTAGAAGATCCGAATGCCACCACAGCGTTCAAATGCGTCGATGCCAGTACATCAATGCCTGTAATAAGCCACCATGAACTTGTTGATAATGGGTACTCCATGGAAGAAAGTTCAGCGGGGAATTGAAACGGTTCCATAGAGGAGATGTACGAGGTTTGTGATGAGACCATGTGACCCGTAAGAGCATCTCCCTTCTCGAGACGGAAAGAGATGGCGAGAACACTGAACGCTTCAACATCCATGGAGACTGGATCACTGGTAACATCTGCGCCAGCATCCAGCACGACATTCGTCTGCCCACTGAACATCAGCGGCACTGAATGGTTGCTAACCATAGGCCCATGGATAGATCTGGCAACGAAGACGTCGGCGAGCGTGACTGGTTCGTTTCCGTAGCGATTAGACAGCCGTAATCGAATGGCTTGACCAGAAGCCTTTAGGTGGACGAGTTGTCGGAGTCCACGGCCAGCCAGTCCTGCGGACAGCATTCGTTGAGGCGCGGCGTACCACCCAGCAACCCAAGATTGAGGAGAATTTGCTGACATGCCGAAATGAAAATAATGGTGATATATCGCGGCTAGCAGGCGAGGATGCTACTGCAATGGGAGTGCCAAGTTTTAAAGTTAGGAAGAGAGTCATTTTGACAAGCAAGTAACGGTCGGATATAGATCAAGGGCCGCGCTGCCGATGAAGAAAGACCTATTGCCGGTCGCAGCGGGAAGTCGTTGATCCGTTCCCGTCAAGCTAATAACGTCATGATATGAGTTTTGCCTTCCGGTGTTGCTGGCTAGCTTAATTGTAGGAAGAGCTCTTTTGGAGCACCCCAAACGCTATTCGGCGCACCCCTTTGTCTCCTGAATGTATGCAAGCTGAATTGAAAAACTCAACCGGTTCAGGCGCGAGAAGTTTCCGGAGTGTTCAGCCGCGCTTCAATCATCGGTTGCTGTAGAAGGCTGGTTCCTACCACTGCGATAACGCATCGGTGCCCCGGCCCCATGTCGGTATGCCGGAGCCAAGCACGTGGCATCTAACTGCCCTACCATATCAACGGAACATCGATGCAATAGCTTCCGAAAGCTGAGCGCTACTACCGTAGTGGAGTGTTCAGGTGCTCTTCATCGGAATGGGTGCCTGATGCAGATTAATTGTATTATTATTATGTGTGTAGGTAGTTTGCATTAAATAAGTATCTTATGTGTTTGTTGTCTAAAGGCCTCTCAACCTTTTCCTTTCCTTCTTTCTTTTCTTCGTGTTCCTCTAGTCTAATTGCCCTTGAGTCTTTTTAATTTCTATATTTCTCTACTAAACTATCCGTGTTGATTAAGTGGATATCGACCTGGGAGAAGCGCAGGTGATGACTCGCTACCGACTTTAACTTCATTCTTTCTGCTGCATCCTCTCTAGGAACTCCGCAGCCTCCGCAGCATATTTACAGCGCTGACGAATGGCAGGACCATACTTGTAGAATAGATAAGGAAAGGGCAAGCAAGCTAGCGACAAGAATGCCGGAACCGAAGATGCCCAATGTATGCCCAGGTTTTTGTACATATCGCTAGTAAACAGCGGGAATGCAGCGCCGAACAGCGATCGGAGTACTGAGTTGGCAGCAAGTGCAGATGCCGCGTAGATAAGGTATGCGTCGATCAAGTAATTCATGATCGAAAGGAAGACAAGAACCATACTGAAGCCGAAAGGCACGCTCGCTATGATGCTGACAATCCAGTGAATACTCGGTCCGTTGGTCCAAGCGAACCAAAACAAGCCGATGGGCATGACAATTGAGCCTAGTATCGCGGGTGGAAGTCGAGCTTCTGGCGGGGCGACGCCACCAGGCGAAGCGTCAGCGACCTTGTTGTAGCGCTTGTTGTCCCATATCGAGTAGGCAGTCGCTAGAATCATGCCAACAGCTACACCCAAGAATGCGAGACCACCAATGCCTTGAGACCAACCGCGACCTTGTTGGTAGACGATGGGGAAAGCGCCGAAGAGCATATACAGCGTTCCGTAGACGACGGCCATGTATAGGGATAGGAGGAGAACGATGGGTTCGCGGAATAGCAGTTGCCATGGACGAATGAGAGCGGTCTTGAAAGCCGTGCCGATAGTTTTGGTGCCTTGCTCGGCGTCGGATTTGCTCTTGTACACTTGTCCGGTTCGCTTCGAAAGGGCTGCGGCACGCTTGCGAAGCAGGACTGGTGCATAGGTTTCGGGGATGAGAAGAGTGTAGAGGATCCAGAGAACACCAGTGAATATAGCCATGACGCCTTCGATCCAGCGCCAGCCGATGGTCTGGCCGACAAAACCACCAACTGTTGCGTGTCAGTCCTGTACTAAAATCTCGTCTCGGACCTTTGAAGCACTTACCAATTGGACCAATGACAGGTCCCAGCATCGGAGCAGCAGCGAAGAGACTCGTGGCTAAACCTCTCTGAGATGCAGGAAACATGTCTGCAATGACACCGCCAGCATTAGTCAACGGCGAGGAGCCAAAAGAACCAGCCAAGAATCTCAGGATAATCAGAGTCTCGATGTTCTGGGCGCCGGCGGCACCGGCGTTGAAGGCAGTGAGAAACATGTATGTACCAAAGAACAGGTACTGACGTCCGTACAGTTCTGGGCAGTGTTAGCAACCTGCGAGTGCAACTTGTGAACAGCGCGAGACACTTACCACTTAGCGGCGCCCATGCTAGCGGTCCTATAGCGAAACCTAGGACGAATAGCGAGATACCCAGCGTACCGACGATCTGTGAAATTTGAAACTCTCTGAGGACCTCAGCAATACCGCCAGAGTATGCAGAAGACACAAAGGCTACCGCCAGCGTTGCGATTGCGACAAGTATAGTGATACTCCATTTCATCGTAGTCGAGTAGTTCATCGGATTTACTGGGTCATTGTCGATCCAGGTGACCAGGAAAGGGTCATCCTCGGTGCCTGACCCCCTGTAAGGATGGTTGATAATATCGTCGTTGAGGGCTCCCTGGTCAAAAACCCGTTGGAGATGAGGAATAGGGCCAGAGCGGCCGGCCTCATGGTCCTTCTCCATCGGACGTCGATCGAAGATTTGTGTGTTGAATGAGTCTATTATCGGCGTTGTTCGGTAGGGGTCCTAGATGACGCTCTGTGCGGCTGTAAGGATAAAGTGAAGACTGTTGATCTGCAGACTGCCCAATAAGGCAGGCAAAAGAGAGTATATCATCTACTCTCACATTCTCCGTTTTTGTCCGCGTTATTGCGTGTCTGTCATCTTATTTTAGTTATCAGGAATTGGTTGCGACAACTTAAATCCGACCATCCGCTTTCGCATAACCACACCAACGTAGGGCTGAGAGCGTACGTGCTTGAAGCTGTAAAAAAAAACGGCGTAATGCTCGGATATTATTGTGATCTTCGACAGTCGACCGTAGACGAAACATTCTCCGATATACCTTTTCGCATGCGCCGTGTACAGTCGTGGAAGTGTCGAATTGTTGTTGTTGCCCCCGGACGGTCGATGTACCTCCGTAAAGGGCTCCACATGGCGTTCCCGACTTGCTTAGAGCCGCATCTACTGAGCGGACCATCCGTTTTCGCCCCACTCCGCAGGATGACGGAGTTTGCACCTCGATTACAAAAACTTCTATGCTCCGATACCCAATGGTAGATCGGCTCTGGACTGCTCGATATCGAAGACGCGAAGATAGCGCGACGCCACAAACCGTGATTCTGGGAGATTAATGACCCCTCGAAACGGATGCGCTTGCCCAGGAAGAAAGTTGGCTGCCAGATGCACACGCAATAGTATTTGGTGCATCCGCGACATCGCTCATACGGTCTCCGATATGTCGAACCCACGCGAAGTCACCGAATACGATACAGACCAGAAAGCTCATGCTCCCCATACTATGGCGCCATTCACCTAGGGAGAATACCCTCTTGCTCGCCGTGTCCGCTTTACCAACCACGCGTTTCACTATTCACGACTCAAAACCCACGAAGGCCAAGATTGTCATGACAGCTGTAGCAGGAGCTTCACCTACAGCCGGGCTCGATCACTAAGCAAGCTGGCGTTATGCGAAGAAAACGCGACCTTAGCAGCGTGAGATCGTGGGAGTAGCTCTAACATACTTGCGATAATGATTGTTGGGTGATTCCACGACCAATGACCTCGCGGTGGAAAACCCATTTCATCAAGCAAAAGACGCAATGGTTTTCGATGACTGTCTTTGAGCTCAAGATATCTCTAAAGCTCACTGGTCGCGCAGGGATAGCATCTCGACGCGACGACTGAGTAGAGAGTTTGTCTTGGCTCTCGTTATTGCGATTGTTCACTCTTAGCAGCGATTCTCAGGATCTCGTTGACACACGTTGAATGCGGGCATCTGTCAAACTAGAAGATACGTGAGTGGTAGGGAACAAGTGAGGTGACGCAACAACGGCAGCAGCGGGTGAGCTGGGGCCCCGCGAGGACGCGCTACTTCGGCTACTTAGGGGACCGCCCCCATCTAATTCTCCACCCTCCCAGGCTGTCACCATCACCCCTCTTCACCGGCCACAACTGAAGAGCTGCAACTAACCGTCAACAACCAAGAACATCATGAGCTGATGCAAATAACGCCTCACCGGCGTGCTCTTGGTAAAGTGGCTGTGAGGGCGGGTGTAACGTTTCGCAATAGGCGTCAACGCACAGCCCGGCTGCAGCCCGCACACACCACCACCTTCGCAGACTTCATTTTTTACTCATCCGCTTGGTGGACGCTGAGGATGCTGAGGCATTCTCGTGCAGCTGAGTGGGTATCCAACACGAGCCCGGTCAGTGCTATCATAGTGGTTTTTATAAGAGGCCAGCGCCGTGGGGTTTCATCTCATCTTTTCATCTCACTTTACCTCTGACCTCGAAGATGCTCATTCACTTTGTAGAGGACAACCGGTACTGCCCAAAGTGACGTCGATAATTTACTATTAGGCAACCATGGCCAGAAGGCAGAAAGGCAGAAAGACGGGATCAAGCGAGGCGCCTTTCAGCTCGAGTTGTTCCGCGACAATACACACCGTACCAGGATGCGTGTGCGTGACCGCGCCGCAAGACTCTCGAAGCTATCTTGAGCGTGCAAAAATGGGCTGATCTCTTTGCATCGCAGTAACATCGATACAGCTCGTCGTCAGTTCTGCGAGTGGTCTGCTTGCAAGCATCCGGCACAGCCCCACCTGTTCCAGTCAGTTTACTTTTGTTGACATCTAGACTGCAGCCACAGGGCTAGACGAAGAGGACTCTCATATCGAGCCATAGCCTCAAGCCCGGAAAGCAGCTATACGACCCAATGATGGTACACCGCCATTTGAGTCATCTTGCTATCCAGTTTTTTACTACATCACATCAATCGCTGTCGTTGGCGATGCTCAATTCTATCCGTAAGGTCGACTGCCGATCTTATAGTCATGGCGCTATATTTCGATAGGCCTCTGCCAAAAGTGGAACCTTCAAGCCCGATCTTACACACAAGCGGCCTAGACTCAGGATCCTAACACTATCCTCTCATGTGATGGCTCTCCCGTCGGTCATACCCGACCTCGGGTCGTGTCGACGGTCCGGAGGCTGAGCGCTATCGTTGGACTTGCTTCCAAGATTCAAGGTGCGATGCGACCCTAAGAGAAGTGACTGTCTGTTACAGGCCATGGAAGCACGGGCATGGATGTCATGTCATGCCCAATCAGCCCATTCACCACCCACCATCAACACAGGTGTCCTCTCGTTTTCCAACGTTGAGTTGAGAGGCCTCTGTGATGCGCCACCACAAGAAAGTGTAGCGCCGCTGGGCAGTGACGTCCCACCTGCAGCTCTCGCATATGACTCTTATCCATTTACTTAACTAGAGTACATCGACTCTCACATCGGCTGACCTAGCATCTGTAAACTGCTAACATGCCACGCAAGAATCAAGCTCCCAAACCCACTAGGAAGCGGAAGCGATCTAAAGCTCTGGATGAGCCTATCGAGCCTCTGCAAAAATCTACTCGCCGTTCGACAGCGTCCGACCAGCTGACCGGTGGCCCTCAATCTCCACCATGTACTCCACCATCCATCGGACGGCCGAAAGCCTCTGTCCGTGTCTCTGCGACAGAGTCGACTTCCAGACTCCGCCAATTGGTGGCAGTTGCGTCGAGAGGTATCGCTGCGATGGAGCCTGAAGCTGAGGTCGACACCACGCCAAGTACTCCTCAAACCCATACGCGCTCCAACATCCGCTCGGACGAGCCCACGAATGAACCCGAAGAGATTTACATGACTCCCCCTGTAACACTCCCTAAAATCTCATGGGCGCCGCGGTCCGCAGTACCGATCAACAGACTTGGCTTCATCACACCTAAGAGCGAGCCATCTAGCTCCTCGAAAGGGACCAACTGGGCAGAAGTGCTGGGTCAGGTCAGCAAATTGTACAGCTACCAACGGATATCCAAGGATCGCGTTCGTCTGCTACTGATCAAGCCTGGCACGTTCGAAGAGCAGATAAATGCTTCATTGCTGGTGGTCAGCGATGATCAGCTCGGGAGTGAATCGTTCCCTTATTCAGCCCTTTCGTATAACTGGGGCAATAGCGAGGATGATTGTACCATCGTTATTCAAGACGACCCAGCATCGTCACCCGTCAAGTCCATAGACGAGGCAGTAGACGTGCTCCGAGTGGTTACGCAAGATAAGATGATGAAGATCAAGCCCAACCTCTACGAAGCTCTACGGCATCTTCGAAAGGAGAATCAGATCGTCGCGCTTTGGGTGGATGCGCTGTGCATCAACCAGTTCGATATCAACGAGAAAGAAGAGCAAGTGCTGAAAATGGCACAAATATATCGCAAAGCGTACAACGTGAACGTATGGCTCGGCTCTGCCAATCCTGGCGACTTGGTCTCGAATAGGGCTATGGCTTTCATTCCCAAGGTCATCAATCCAGACAACCATGCCGCACTTTTGGCAAACGACGCCTACATAGAAGATTGGGCAAGCCTGTACGAACTTCTTAAATGGAGCTGGTAAGCGAGTCCTAACTCCATCCTACTGCACTGCTAAAAGACTCAGGTTTTCACGACGCTGGGTCATACAAGAGCTGGCGTTCGCTCAATCCGCTTCAGTCCACTGTGGCAAGCATGTGCGAGATTGGAGCGACTTTCAGACTGCCATCGCTATCTTCCACCGACACTTCGATGGACTAAAAGCCCGACTCATGATGCATTATGAGTCCTCTCAAGTCAAGCGCAGCCACCAGGATGATGATTCGACTCTTGAGATAGAGCACCTTGGTGCAAAACTACTTGTGGATATGACATCAACCTTGTTTCGCAAGCGACCCGACGGTTCTCTTGAGTCTACGAGAGGCTTAGAGAACTTAGTATGCTCTTTGTCCGGCTTCGATACATCTGATCCCCGCGACACGATCAATGCCTTCAGGAGCATATCTAAGGAGATGAACAGATACGACCAGCGTGTTGCAGGAGCTCATAATCCACCACCTGCGCCGAATTACGGCAAGGATCTTTTCGAGATCTACCGCGACTTTGTCCAATGGGTCGTAAAGACCACAGGATCCTTGGACATAATTTGTCGCCACTGGGCCTTGAAGGAACGCAAAGAGCCAACACCAACGACCCCTCGTCTGGTTCAACTACCTTCTTGGATCCTTTTCGTGGAGGACTCTGCCTGGGGAAAGGGTGAAGATCTTTTTCGCGGCCGGAAGGCTGGCGATAGCTTTGTTGGGCTACCCGGCAGCAACAACTACAACGCCTGCGGTAGTCATCGCAAGCACGCTGTTGTTGAGTTTCCCCAAAGCCCCATACACCACGGTTCGACTGCATCAACCCAGGTCACCCACGATATGTCGATGCGTGTGAAGGGTGTCATGATAGGCACAGTCTCGTTCCGCACCGATCCATTCCCCGATGGTGTCATCACTAGGGACTGTCTAGAAGGTCTAGGCTGGCGCTTCGATAAAGATGCGAAAGAGATTGACGAAGTTCCCGCTCAGTTATGGCAAACACTTGTTGCGGACCGCGACCCATATGGAAACGCACCTC